GCTTTGTTACGCAGGCAAACATGTGTCATGGGGAGTTTGTTGTACAGATTCATTTTGTCACCCAGTATTAAGCCTACTACCCATTCGTTATTTTTCCTGATCCTCTTCCTCCTCATACCCTCCACCCTCTCGTAGGCTCCAGTGTGTGTTGTTTCCCCCTAGATGTCCATGTGTTCTCATCATTTAGCTCCCACCTATAAGTAAGAAATTCTGTATTTGGTTTTCTGTTCCTGCGTTAGTGTGCTAAGGATAATGGCCTCTAGCTCCATCCATGTCCCTGCAAAGGACACAGTCTCATTCTGTTTTATAACTATATAGTATTCCATGGTGTATATGTACCACATTTTTAAAATTCAGTCTATCATTGATGGGCACTTAAGTTGATTTCATGTCTGTACTATTGTCAATAGTGCTGCAGTGAACATACATGTACATATGTCTTATAATAGATTCATAATCCTTAAGGTATATACCTGGTAATGGGATTGCTGGGTCAAGTGGTATTTCTGTCTTTAGGTTTTTGAGGAATCACCACACTGTCTTCCACAATGGTTGAACTGATTTTCACTGCCATTAACAGTGTAAAAGTGTTCCTTTTTCCCACAACCTCACCAGCATCTGTTATTTTTAATAATAGCCATTCTGACCAGTGTGAGATGGCATTTCATTGTGGTTTTGATTTTCATTTCTCTAATAATCAGTGATGTTGAGCTTTTTTTTTTTGTATGATTACTATCCAAAGCAATTTATATTCCCCAAAGCAATTTGTAGATTCAATGCTAGTCCCATTAAGCTACCATTGACATTCTTGATAGAACTACAAAAAAATATTTTAAAATTAGCGTGGAACCAAAAAAGAGCCTGAATAGCCAAGGCAATCCTAAGCAAAAAGAACAAAGCTGGAGGCATCATGCAAAGGGACTTTAAACTATACCACAGGGATACAGTAACCAAAACAGCATGGTAAAGTACAAGTTGAGTATGGGTATGGTAGCTATGATGGTTAGGCTAATAAGGCTATTGCTTTTTGTAAATTCTTGGATGATGATTCCTTTAGTCAGGAATCCTGTTAATCATGGGTAAACCTCCTAGGGATGGTAGAATTAGTGGAATTATTGTGTCAACCATATTAATTTGTTTCAGGTGTGAGATAGTGACAGGTTTCTGGTGCTTATACTCAGGTTGAGTGCTAGAAATGTGGCTTTTATTAAGATGAGGTAAATAATCAGGTTTAGAATGGTAATGTTTGAGTTATATATTAGCACTGCTGTTATTCAGCCTATGTGAGTGATTTAGGAGTAGGTTACAATTCTACACAGTTGAGTTTGGTTAAGTCCTCCTCAACTGTCCACTATAATGGATAGGATTGTGATAAATAGGAGGATGTTCATGTTTGTTAATGGGAAAACTTGAAACATAATCGAGATGGGATAGTTTTTGTCATGTGAGGAGAAGTATACCAGGCATTAGAAAGATTCCTTTGGTTATCTCTGGGACTCAGAAGTAAAAGGGCGCTATTCCTCGTTTTATTATTTAGGGCTACTATTATTATATATATATAATTGTATATATTAATATATTACATATAGATAATAATACTATTATTAAGGATGAAATTTGATTAAAAGTGTTTATTATTGTCCAGAGGACAGGTTATTGGAAAGGATACCTATCATGAGAATTATATATGCAGTCGCTTGTGTAAGGAAATACTTGGTGGCTTCTTCTATATAGCTTCTTCTATAGCTTCTTCTTCTATAATTTAATAATAATTAAATATTATTTTTTTAATTAAGAGGAATAAGGCTGGTATGTTTATTTCTAGGCCTATTCAGATGAGAAATCAGTGTGAGCCTCGTATTGTGATAAGAGTTCCTGTGAAAATAGTAAGGGAAATAATAAGTTGAGCTAAGGGGTTAATTAGTATGGGAAGAGTGTAATCAGTATTTTCAAGCTATGGGCCTGATAGCTTATGTAGCTGACCTCACTCAAGGACGCGGTATAATAGGTAGCATGGAGAATTTTGGATTCTCAGGGGCAGGTCTAATTCCTGCAGGTTCTAGAAATAAGAATTTTTTACCTCTATTATTTACTCTATCAACGTAATTCTTTTGTCAGAAATATTTCTTATCTTTGGGGTGGGATGCTGGAAATTAGGATAGGCATTGAGATATATCACATACAGAATGCTAGCGTAAGTGGTAGGAAGTTTTTTCATAGAAGGTGTATGAGTTGGTTGTAGTGGAATGAAGGGTATGCCATTCAAATTCATAAAAATAGGGTGGTTAAAAAGGGTCTTGGTAATGAAATGTGTGGTATAGAGTTCTGGCAAATAGATAGTGTGTAGTGTTCCTAGGAAAATAGTAGTAGTGGTAGTAGTAGTGGTTATGCATTTATTATGATAACATTTATATATTCTGCTGTAAAGAAGAGGGCAAAGGAGCCTGCAGCATATTCAATGTTGAAGCCTGAGACTAACTGACTCTTCCTCTGTTAGATCAAAAGGAGCTCAGTTAGTGTCGAGATAAATTGTATTATGGCTAGGGGCCATGATGGTAGGAGCAGTCATAGGAATTCTTGCTTTGTGATGAGTATATGTAAGTTGAATAAGCTGCTTTCAGTAGGACTCATAGCAGGATAATGGCTAGGGTGACGTCATGTGAAATTCTCTGGGCTGTAGCTCATAATGTGCTAATCAGCACATATTTTGAATTAGATGCCCACCCTGATCATAGGATAGAGTAGAAAGTTAGGCTTGATGTTAGGAGGCCTATATTAAAATTAATTAGAGGATCTGGTATAGGGAGGGAGTTTATAAGAGGAGAGCGATAGAAAGGGCTAGGGTTGGAGTAATAATATAAAGGGTAATAGCAGATGTTGAGGGCCATAAGGGCTCTTTGGTGAGAAGTTTTATTGCATCAGCGAATGGGTGAAGCAGCCCATGGGGACCCTATAATGTTGGATCCTTTGCATGGTTGTATATAGCCTAAGATTCCTCATTCGATGAATGTGAGGAATGCTATAGTGATAAGAGTGGGGATAATGAGTAGGAGAAGGTTAATTATAGGCATGTTGTTAAGAAGAGGAGTTGAACCTGATTATAAAGTTTTAAGATTTATGCAATTGCTAGGCTCTGCCATCCTAGCAAACTCTGTCCCTGGATAGTGTGTGTGATGATTAGTTAGAATGAGATAGCATCATCTATGGAGCGAGCGCTCTTTATGAAGTGGGCCCTTTTTCTCTCGTCCTTTTGTACTACGAGAAATGTTAAATAGATAGAAACCGACCTGGATTACTCCGATCTGAACTCAGATCATGCAGAACTTTAGTCCTTGAACAAAGGAACCCTTAATTGCTACACCATTAGAATGTTCTGATCCAACAACAAGGTTATAAACCCAACTGTCACTATGAACTCCGGAATAGGATTGAGCTGTTATCCCTAGGATAACTTATTCAGTTGATCAAATTATTGATCAATGTATATTAATGTGCTTAGACTAGTACAGTCCTCGTTTAGGTTGTTCAGAGGTTGAATTATGCTCCGAGGTCACCCCAACCAAAGTTTTTAATGCAGGGATAATAGGCTAGGGCCTGTAGGCTTGTTTAAGTTTTTACTTGCATTAATGAATTAAAGCTCCATAGGGTCTTCTCATCTTATTTGTTTATATCTGCCTCCTCACGGATGGGTCAATTTCACTGATAAAAGTAAAAGACAGCTGAACCCTTGTGTGGCCGCTCATACAAGTCCCTATTTGGGGAACAAGTGATTATGCTACCTTTGCACGGTCGGGATACTGTGGCCGTTGAACATGTCACTGGACAGGCTGTGCCTCTAATATTGGTAATGCTAGAGGTGACGCTCTTGGTAAACAGGTGGGGTATGATTTTTCGAGTTCCTTTTACTTTTTGTAATCTTTCCTTAGAGCATGCCTTGTTGGGTTAACAGTATAAATAATAGGATGCTTATTATATCATTTATTAGTATGCGGCTGTTAACTGTCAGGGGGTTAGTCCAGTCTGGTGTAAGCTTAGACAATGGAGAATGTCTTCATGTTGCTTATACTAACATTGTTGCTAGTATTTAGTAATAGATGCATCCAATGTGATGCTAGGAGTTCAGCAGAGTGATTAGAATTTAAGATAGTTAGATGTTGAGCTTAAACACTTTCTTAATTGGTGGCTGCTTTGGGGCCAACTATGGTGGTAATATTTTTTACTCTCTGTAGGAAGGTTGTTTCCTCGGGTCTAAAGAGTTGTTCCTCTTTAGACTACAGTTAAACTTACAGGGTGATTAAATAATTCTGTGGGTAAATTTAAAGTTGAACTCATCCCCCAAAGTTAAAAAGTCTACCTTGGACAACCAGCTATCACCTGGCTCGGTAGGCTTGTCACCACTACTCATGAATCTTCCCACGATTTTGCCATAGAGGCGAGTGTGCTCTTTCAGCTGTTCTTGGGTAGCTCATCTGGCTTGGGGGGACTTTGCTATAGTTCTCTGTGTAAAGTTATTTCTGGTGAATACATTATGCAGAAGGTATAAGGGCTTGTCTTTGCTTTTTAGTCCTTGGTACAGTTCTTTCATCTCTTCCTCACAGTACTATGTCTGTTGTACCAGAGTAAAATTTCCATCGCCTGTACTTTTGTCTAAGGTAAATGATTTGACTAAGACAGTTTGATAGTATTCTTAGCAAGGTTTGGGGCTAGAGTTGGCTCAAAGTGATCAGGTCTTGATGAAATCTTCCGGGGCTAATCCAGATGCTCTTTTAGTTTGTTCAAGATCACTTTATAGTACACTTACCATTTATGACTTATCTCCTCTCTACATGTGTAGGAAACTATTAGTAATCGTGATTTCTAGAGTAGTATTTGAGGAGGGTAATGGGCGGTGTGTGTGTTCTTCATGGCCTTACTCAACTAAGCACTCTGCTCTTGGTTTACTACTAAATCCTCCTTAAGCCCTTAGATTTCATAAATGTTGTCATGAGATTTTTTGGACATAGAAAATGTAGCCCATTTCTTGCCACCTCATGGGCTACGCCTTGACCTAATGTTTTGTATGTGTACATGTGCTTAGTCTATAACCTTTTTAGGGTTTGCTGAACATGGTGGGATATAGGCTGGGGACAAGAGGTGGTAAGGTGTCCCTATCGGGTTTATCAATTACAGAACAAGCTCCTTTAGAGGGATATAAAGCAGCGCCTAGTCCTTTAAGTTTTAAGGGGTTGCTTGTTGTACTTTGGCGATTGGTTTTGTTAATATAGCTATTAGTGTTTAGGGCTAAGCATAGTGGGGTATCTTATCCCATTTTGGGTCTTAGCTATTGTGCCTTCAGGATATTAAAGCCACTTTTGTAATATATTTTATTTCAACTGGAGTTTTTTTTACAACTTAGATGGAGTTTAGCTTCATTGAGGGTAGACCTTAAATGCTCTTTTTGCTGAGTTCTGTTAGCTTAGGTTAATCGTATGGCCACAGTGGCTGACATGAAATTAACCAACCCTAAATATTAATATAGCTTAGTCAAACTTTCATTTATTACTAAAGATTTATCACTGCTGGTTTCCTGTGGGGTGTGGTTAAGCAAAGTGTTTGAGCTGCATTCTTGTGTGCTTGATACCTGCTTCTTTTGATCCGGGTGATCTAGAGGGCATTTTCACTGGGGCCGTGATGCTTACATGCGTAATCTTTTTAAGAGTTAAAAGAAAGGCCAGGATCAAACCTATCTGTATGGGCTCGTGTGGACCCATCTCGACATTTTCAGTGTCTTGCTTTGAATAATTAAGCTACATTAACTACATAAATACTTAGTGGAAAATTAAAATATGGGAAATATGAGAAAGAAGTATAAATAATCGTTTATAGTTCTGGAAATCCTGGGTCTTTAAAGTTGAATTGGCAGAGTTTTGGCTGAGAGGACTACTCATAGTTAGAATATGGTTGATTTAGGGTATGATATAATGGGGCAGCACTTTCAGAGGGATATGCCCAAGACATTATATTAGTATTAGGGTGGAAACTTAGTTAGTATATTTATTGCACAAAATGGAGGAATAATTTGGTAGGAGAGTCTTAAGACTTTTTCAGAAAAATTACATCAATTGAGGGGTAGCTGTTGGGGTGTTCATGGTTAAAATATGATTTCTGGGCTCTGACTGAGTTGCATTTTAGTCTCTTGTTTTTGAGGTTTGACAAGTGTACATTTACCTGGGTTGATGGTAAAGTCAGAGACTGGGGGAAGGGGGTTTGCAGATTTAATTGGAAATTGTATGTCAGCCTATGTACGTGCATGAGTGTGCGTATGTGAGTGTGCATACATGAATGAGCGTCTATTGATTAATTATGTGTTTAAAACATGAATTAATTAACACCTTATGGTTATTATGCCAGCCCGGAATAGTCAATATGAACTCAGCTTCTACAATTGATTTGGCAGGAATCGAATCCAAGTTCGTCTACAGCGGACTCGGCAGGGACCAGGCCTTCCACGATGGTGAGTGATAGCATCCCCCAAAGTTAAAAATACCAAATGCATGACAGTGCTCTGTGACTGCTTAATAGGGTAGTAGTCACTAGTTCATCAGGTTGTCTTATTTAAGGGAACGTATGGGCGATCTTAGTGTTATGGCCCTGAAGTAAGAACCAGGTGCCAGGTATAGTTTCAGTATAGTCACCCTCAAGTGTCATGGGCCCCGAGCGAGGTGGGTAGCATCACTGAGTGGGATGATGATTTCTCAGACGTTGGTAGATTAAGAGGCCAAAAATTGGTAGCGGATATTCATGTTGACGAGGGACATCCTGACTAAAATATCCAGTGAATGACTATATGTACTATGTAATATCAAGGATTTACAGTACGGGTCAATATCTGTGTGGATTAAGTTTGATTGTACAGTCAAAAATAGTAGATGTGTGATAGTTGATTAAATAATTATTAATACATGCTTATATGAATGTAGACTGGATTTGTATTGTATTGTTATATATAAATGTACTGGGTATGAATAAGTAATAATAGTACTGTATATTATTCATGGAAACTAGCAATAATGCATGAAGTGCATTCACAAAGAGTATAAATTCACACCTAAGACTCACATATGTGATTATGAATTCTCAGGGAAAACTAACTTTTCCACTTAGAGTTTAGTCTGAGATAGATAAACTGTATTGTCATCTCTTTGGATTTGTTGACTGATCTTTCCTGTGAATCCTGAGCTTCTGGCTTTGGGTAAAATTTGTAAGCGCAACAACCTAATTTTGGTGACCCAAGACCTTATATACTATTTTTAGGTGTTTTCTAAAATCTAAATGATCTGGTTATAACTGATTTAGGTGTTTTATAAAATCTAAATGATCTGGTATGTAATCTTATCTGTCATCCTGAAACACCCATAGATTTCAATTCTGGTGATCTGTGCTTTCTCTGTGTTTCTTCTGGAGATTTTTCTTTTTCGGTGAACTTAGGTATGTGCTTAAGAAGATACGTGTTACATTTTTGTATGACTTTTTACAGGTATATAATAACTTGGAAGTTTTTGGTTATTTCAATTATTCCATTACTGGAACCACAAGTTACCTTTTTGGTTTGTTACCACATGTCTGTTCATATACCCCAGCCTCCCCTTCCTCCTTTCTGGTGCTGAAATTTAGGTGTTAAACTTTGAATGGTGTGAGAGGACAGGGGAGAATGAACTTTTCCTGGTGAGCAAGCACCTGTGGTGATTCTGTCAAGAGGATGTGCTCACTTTGGGATACCCTAGTTTGGAAACTGATGGGAAATATCCTAGTTACATAACCAGAATAGTGCACGCTTTACAAACTGTCTTTAGTCTCTAACCATGCAGCTCAATCCTAGTGATGACAAGGCCAAATAAGTAAATTCTGGAAGAAGTTAGAATGGCTAATTTTCTGAATGGTCTCAGGAGAATCCATAACTGACACCTTCTTGGACCCAAAGCAACAGTCATAATATCTTTTCTCTCCCAAGATACCACTTTATGAGCATAGTCTTTGAAGTCATACAGCTTGACTATTTATTAAAACTCTCAAAGTTCTAGTTTATTTATCAGCAGAAAGAGCATAATGATAATATTTATAGCATAGTTTGCATTTTAGTGTTTTGAGAATTAAATGAGGTATGAGGTAATGCTTGCAAAGTACTTAGTATATAGTCCAGCATGTTATAACCTCTAAATTGATATTTGCTATTATAATTGGTTAGTAGTATTAATATCCCAAATAATTACTTGTAGCAAAACGTTTTGAAATCTATGTTAGGTTGCAATATGAACACCAACACTGTTTATACACAGTGATCAGGAAATAGAAGACATTATGTGCTTGAAACCCCTCGCGCCCCACTAGAATCAGCCAACCTATTATCACAAGTCAGAATTTCATGTGTCATAAGCCATGCAGTTGTTTATTACTTGGATATTATTAATGCTGCATCTGGAGTGTGGGTAGTATATTTTTAAAAGATTGTGGCCTACTATTTATATACAAGTCACTATGAAAGAATTGTATTGTGTTGTAATAAAAGAACCCTCTCACCAGAACTGAAGTGTTTTTACAACAGTGAAAGATAGACTAAACAAAGTGAACTGGAAAAAATGCTTGGTGTTATGTGAGCAGTTCACGTTGTTTTCCTTTTTTTATTGTACTGTTTTACCACTGGCAATCAGTGTGGGGCCTTTACTTATGAAAATATAGCTGTTGGTGTTTTAGGCTCAATTTCGTTCTCAAGCTGTCATAAATGATCACATGGGAAGATAATACTTGATCGGAATTTTGTTTTTTTTTTCTCATTTTGTTCTTTTATTTTTCTTTGAGGCAATTTGTTGGAGAGAAGAGAAGATAGAGATCTATGATATACTGCAAAGCTTGGAAAACACTCATACAGTTTCAGAAATTCTATTCACACAGCAAAAAGATAGAGACAATGCCCTAATTGAATTAAAGCATTTGCAGTCATTCTCACTTGTTTCCTACTGTTAGGGCTATATGTTCTTGAACAAGAGGTAATATATCAAAATTCTCTTCCATATGCCACCTTACAGCTGCCTTCACGCATTCCTTTGTAAAATTGTAAATTGACAAAATATAATTGTGTATATTTATGGGGTACAAAGTGATGTTATTATATATTTATAGAATGTAAATGATTAAATCACGGTAATTAACATACTCATTATCTCAAATACCATTATTTAATGAGAATATTTGAAATTTACTCTCTTAGCAATCTTAAAATATAAAATACATTGTTACTAACTAGTCACTAGGCTATGTAATAGATCTCAAAACAATTATTCCTCTTAGTAAAACTTTGTACACTTTGGCAAACATCTTCCCATTTCTTCCACCGTCCAGCCTCTGATAACCTCCATTCCACTTTCTGCTTCTGAATTTGTTTTAGATTTTATATATAAGTGTGATCATGTGGCATTAGTCCTTCTGTGCCTAGGTTGTTTCACTCAGCACAGTGTCCTTTAGGTTTATCCATGTTATTGCAAATGAAATGGTTCCTTCTTTAAGGCTGAATAGTATGTCATTGTGTCTAAATACCACTTTTTCTTTCTCCATTGATCCACTGATGAACACTAAACACTGATTCTGTAATTTGGCTATTGTGAATAATGCTACAATGAACATGGGAGTACAGATATTGCTTCGACATACTGATTTCAACTCTTTTGGATACATGTCCGAAGTGGGATTGCTAGATGATGCAGTAGTTCTATTTTTAGTTTTTTGAGGAACCTCCATACAGTTTACAAAATGGCTGTACTAATTTATATTCCCACCAACAGTGTATTTCTCTCCATTTGCTTGCCAACACTTGTCTTTCATCTTTTTGGTAACAGCTATTCTGGCAGGTGGAAGATGATTATCATTGTGACTTTAATTTGCATTCCATTAATAACAAGGGATGTTGAGCTTTTATTTCCCTTATATCTGTAATATCATTGTGGTTTTAATTTTCATTTTTTAATGATTAGTGATGTTGAGCATTTTTACATGTACCTGTTGGTCATTTGTATGCCTTCTTCTGAGAAATATCTGATCAGGTCTTTTGCTCATTTTTTAATCAGGTTATTTGTTTTCTTGCTCTTTAGTGCTTTATATATTTGGGCATTAACTCCTTATCAGAAGTGTAGCTTATAAATATTTTGTTCCAATCGGTAGGCTGTCTATTCACTCTAATAATGGTTTCCTTTTCTGTGCAGAAGCTTTTCAGCTTGACGTAATCTCATTTGCCTATTTTTTCTTTTGTTGTCTGAGCTTTTGCAGTTAAATCCAAAAAGTAGTCAATGATCAGACTAATGTAAATTTCCCCCTATTTTTTTTTTCTAGTAGTTTTACAGTTCTATTTCTTATGTTTAAGTCTTTCATCGATTTCAAGTTGAGTTTTGTATATGGTATGAGATGAAGGTCCAAATCTATTTTTCTGGAGGTAAATATCCAGTTTTTTCAATATACTTTGTTGAAGAGACTGCCTTTTTTTCCATTGCATGTTTTTGGCATCTTTGCTGTAAATTAATAGACATAAAAGCATGGGGTAATATTTGGGTTCTCTGTTCTCGTCTATTCATTGATGTGTCTATTTTATGCTAGTACCATGCTGTTCTAATTGCTATAGCTTGGTAATATAGTATGAAATCAGGTAGTATGATGTTTCCAGCTTTGTTCTTTTTGCTTAAGATTGTCTTGGATATTTGTGTGTGTGTGTGTTTGTGGTTCCACATAAATTTTAGGGTTGGTTTTTCTATTTCTGTGAAAAATGACATGGAAATTTTTATAGGGATTGCACTGAACCTGTAGATTGCTTTGAGTAGTATAAACATTTAAAATGTATTTTTTTCAATCCATGAACAGGGAATATCTTTCCATTCATTTGTATTTTTAATTTTCTTCATCAATGTTTTATAGTTTTCAGTGTGCAGATCTTTCACCACCTTGGCTAAATTTATTCCTAAGCATTTTAGAGTTTTATTGGTAACTATTATAAATGGGATTTAAAAATTTTTTTAATGCATAGTTCATTTTTGTGTATAGCAATGCTATTGATTTCTGCATGTTGATTTTTTGTCCTGCAACTTTACTGTATTTATTAGTTCTAATAGGTTTTTGGTGTAGTCTTTAGAGTTTTCTATATATTAGATCATGTTGTCAGCAAAGAAAAAAAAAAGATAATTTAACCTTTTCCTTTCCTATTTTGGATGTCTTTTATTTTTTTCTCTTGTCTAATTTCTCTGACAAGGATTTCCTGTACTATGATGAATAGAATTGGTGAGCGTGGGCATTCTTGTCTTGGTCCTGATCTAGATGTAAAGCTTTTAATTTTTCTCAATTGAGTGTAATGTAAGGTGTGGGCTTATTGTATGTGGTTTTCTTTGTGTTGAGGTACATTCCTTCTACGTATACTTCATTTGTTGAGAGGTTTTTTTTTAATCATGAAATAGTGGTGAAGTTTGTCAAATGCTCTTTCTGCATTGATTGAAATGATTATGTGTTATTTGTTTTTTATTTTGTTAGATTTTGTATCGTATGTATTGATTTGCATTTATTGAATCATTCTTGCATCATAGGGTTAAATCCCAGTTGATCGTGATGAGTAATCCTCTTAATGTACTTTGGAATCTGGTTTGCTAGTATTTTGTTGAAGATGTTTACATTTATGTGTAATAGAGATATTGGCCCTATAAACTAATTTTCTTGTAATGTTTTTGTCTAGTTTTGGTATCAGGGTAGCACTGGCCTTATAAAGGGAGTTTGGAAGTCTTCCCTATTCTTTAATTATTTGAAGAGTTTGAGAAGAATTGGTAATTGTCTTGTTTTCTATCCCCCAGTGTATCTCCTGTTTACTATTCTTTCCATTTCTATTGAGGCTGCCCCTACCACAGTCCAGCTTCGTATTGCATCTCATTTGCTTCTCACCCTTACGAAACTTCCTAGTTGCTGCTAATTTGTGAGCTACAGACTGAATTCAGCTCCATATAACGCAGAACATTAGCCATATTTGCAACAACTTGAAAAGCAAATGGGGGGGGGATGGAAAGGAGAATTTTCTAGTTTACAAGGGACTTAAGACATAATGACCAATTGAAATGGAAATGTGGTACCTGTTTGAACCCTGATTTACTCAAATCAGCATTTTTGAGAAGTTAAAATTCAGTACAGACTGGCTATTAGTTGTTATTAAGAAATTCTTGTGCATTTTTGGTAGATGTGATAATGGTATTGTGGATTAAAGAACAGAATATGTTTACTCAGTTTTGTTTTAGAATTGCACACTGAAGTACATAGGGAAGAAATGTCATCATGTCCGTTATTTACTTTATACAACTTCAGCAAAACAATACATGGAGCAAATACTGCAAAATTTTTGGAAAAATGGTTAAATGTGGGCATTGAGCATACAGGATTCATTATACTATGCTCTACTTTTCTGTAAGTTTGAAAATATTCTCAATAGAAAGTAGAAGAAAGAAGTTTTCATGGTATTACTCCTCTTAAAAATAGTGATATTTAAACTATTTTCTGAAATGAGAGATTCATAATGTATAAAATGAAGATCCAAAGAAGTAGACTAAATAAAAGTTAACAGGATGAAAAATATCTTCAAAACAGAACCCTCAGACACATTGCTATTTAGAGATATTTACCTTTTCCTATAAAGGGGACATTCAATTTATGAACCTATTTGCTAATGCTGTTTTATAGGTATGGAGACTAGAAAGATCAATACCACATGCTCCTTGGAAGAAAAAAACTGTAGAAACTTTCAGACCATGAGCTTGGTCCTTTAGTAGAGGAAATTGTCTTTATGCATTGGGAAGACCCCAAGTTTTGCCATTATTACATGGCACTGAATTTGACTGTTGACTATTATTTTCTAGCAGTGCGAACTTGAAAGCAGTTTTCTTGTATTGAGTCTCAAATGTCTTGTCCATGAAATGGGGATAATAAAACTTACCTTCCAGGAAATACTGTTAGTATTAAATGAGGTAGTGTACATAGAGTTTAACACAGAAATGAATGAAATTTAACTCAGCTCTTTGTGTTACTGTCATTAGAGGTTCATTAAAGGCAAGCAGAAGTGAAGTGATCAGGAACCCAGAATAGATGAGATTTGAGTTGAGCCTTGAAGAACCGAGAAGATTTCAACAAATGAAGATGGCAGCAGAGGGAGTGCTCCTTGTATGTTGAAAGGATGGCACTGATATGGTACATGCCGTGTTTAGAAAACAGCCATGATAATAACTGGTTCAGCTTAATTTTAATAAAGTGCCCAAGAGTAGTGAAAAAATAGTTTTGGGGCTGATTATTCTTCCTTTAAATTGTTTAGTCCAAGAAACTTGGACTTTAATCACAGTGCTATTTGAAGAATTGAATGGTTTTGACAAGCTTTGATGATGGTTAGAGTTGTACTTTGAGATCAATCTGGCAATAAGATTTATATTGCTCTGTGAAATCTGAACTCAAAGATACTGTGGCAGATTCTGCTGTTCTCCTGTCCAGCAGATCCCCTCTTCTTCTTTACAGGACACTGGTTTTGTTGGGGATGGTGATGCAACAAAGTAAAAAGAAATCGGAAAACAATTTTTAAAAAGTGATCACATTTGCATTTCTCCTTTGAAGAAAAGAATGGCAATATCTAGTTTTGGCCAATATCATATAAGCTGAAGTCTTAGGTTGGGTCTTCCAAAAATGCTCTTCAAAAGTGAAAGTAGCATTAGGTGATAAAACTGCTTAAAACCTTAAGGATATAAGCATGGGAAGGCAACAGTATCTTGAATTCCTTATACTGTGGAATTGCTACATTATCCCACACAGCCTACTGCCGTCCCTATTGTGATGTCACAGAAAAATAACTCTATTTGCTTTTCAAGTTGTTGTAAATATGGTGAACCTTTTGTGTTATATGGAGCTGAATTCAATCTGTAGCTCACAAATTAGCACCAACTAGGAAGTTTAGCAAGGGTGAGAAGCAAATGAGAAGCAATACGAAGCTGGACTGTGGTAGGAGCAGCATCAATAGAAATGGAAAGAATAGTAAACAGGGGATACATTGGGGCATACATAAGACAATTACTGATTTGAGTATGGATGGAGGAAAAAGAAGGATTCCAATATAAATTTAAAGTTTGGGTGACCAGAAAAATTATGACCTTATTTATTAACTGGAGATAGCGATAAGAAAAGAAAGATAGTTCAACTGATAGATACATGAAATAAATTAAATTTCAGATGAAAGCATTTTACTCAAGAAAAGTCAGAACACTCTAAGAACTAAATCAGTAGTATCAAGTCTCAAGCCCTTAGAAAGACTGGTAGAAAGAACAGAGGAGGGGATGGCAAGGAGCCTCCTATTAGATTGCAGGATTTCTATTTATTCTTCCCAATGTGAAGATGAGACATACTAACTGGTCAAAAGTTTTAAACATGAGTTTAAACTGCATTCGAAACATATGTAATTATTTCCTCTGAGGCAAAATGGCTAGAAATATAACTTGCTTAGCCAAGGCGTAGGTCTGCTTTCAGAGTAGGATGTGAGCTCAGTGACCTCTGCATGTGCTTTATAGTTCTACAATTCTATAATTATCTCAGGCTTCAAATCACTTTCTAGCGAACAGCAAATAACTCTTACTAATAAAATACAATTTGAAACTGGGAACTGAAATTACACATTTTCAATAAAGTGTTGTAATAAAGTTAGCAACGGTAGATCCCCTCCAGGAATAAAGAGCTAAATGTATTGGTTGGCCACTCGTGCAAGACACAGCTAAAGTCTACGTTGATTCATCACGCAGGAGAAGTGGATTCTCTGTATAAGTTTTAAAAATAAACCTGACTGCAAATGAAAGAACTAAAAGGACATTGCCATTTAACCATGGAATCTGCAGTTAACATCAATAAGTGCTCTGAAGTTTACATTTTGCATTAACCCCACTGAGAAACTGCTGCCTGACTTTAGTTCCTGTATTCAGCTCCTTTCTGAAACATATTTCTTGGTATTGTGAATAGAAATCTCTCTCTGGGTTCTTTGTAATTTTGCCAACAATGAGAGACCAATTCTATTAGAAAAAGATAGGAAGATATGGGGAGCTCTCATACCAATAAAACTTTACCCCAAGTTCCACAGATTCAGAAGGGCAATTATTTGAGCAATTTTGTTTTTCAGAGGCCTCAAGCCTATGGCAGAGAACAATTATTAACATAAATGATTTATGGTACAGTTATTGTTTTCCTAAAATTGTATTTCCTACAAAAGCTTATGATCTGAAATATAGGGCTTAAAAGAAATAGTAAAGTGAAGTGATTCTTAAAGCGTCTCCAGGAAATAGGCATTCCTCCAAAAATTATTCCATGGTCATAAGTTTGGGACATTCCATTTAAATAAAACCACTGTTTCTTTTTTTGTGGTTCTCGTGAGAGCCTTTATAAAGCCCCACGACCCACCAAGAATGAATAAGGAGTAGCATTTACATCTTGAAATTATTTTAATGAGATTATTAGAGACAGAGTGTGATCCACGTTTTCAAAAATTGTTAAACACTGACTTCTTGACACTGCTTTTTTTCAGTTCAGAAAACTGAGACTCGAAAATATAAAATAAATTTTAACAGATTGATGTGGATTGTTTGTGTTTATCATGTTTCCTTTGGGAATTGCTCCTCCCTAACCTCCCTCTCATTTTGCACCATTATAGGTGTAGCACAGCCATCAGGACAGTTAAATTCCAAACTTCTTGCTGCAGTATATTAGACCATCCATAAGCACCTGATCTAGACTGATCTAATTGAATTTCTTTCCTTGGAAGTATCACATTGAGATAAGGAAATTCAGTCTCTCCATCTTTCTCTTGCTTACTTTATCACTGTAAAGCTAGACATATAATATATAAGGTGTAAGTAATGTGTTTTTAGTCTATGTGGACCAAAGAAGCAAAGAAAGCCTATCTGGAGGCTGAAAGACAAAAAGGGCCAGGTGCAGTGGCTCACTTCTGTAATCCCAGAACTTTGGGAGACCGAGGCGGGTGGATCACCTCAAGTTAGGAGTTCAAAAGCAACCTGACCAACATGGGAAACCCCTTCTCTATTAAAAATACAAAAATTAGCTGGGCATGGTGGTGGGCACCTGTAATCCTAGCTACTTGGGAGGCTGAGGCAGGAGAATCACTTGAACCTGGGAGGTGGAGGTTGCAGTGAGCCTAGATCACACCATTGCACTGCAGCCTGGCAACAAGAGCAAAACTCCATCAAAAGAAAAGAAAAGAAAAAAAGGAAAGAAGGCAGGCAGGCAGGCATAAATGCACAAGAGGAGTGGCAGAGGAGAATACATGGGCTCACTCAAAGTGTTTTAAGGTCTTTTTCCCACTTTGTTCAGCTGTATTCCTCCCTGTGGGTTTCGATGATTCCCTTGTAACTTTGTGGTGGATTCTTTTTATCTTAAGGTTGAATTTTTTTCTGTTTTCTTCAGTGAAAAAGGGCTAAATGACTACAGTTACACATTAATTGCAGAATAAGAGCTAGAAAACAGGTCACTTAATCAGTGCAATGCCTTTTAACTACAAGTCTTTATGACTTGTTGAGTAGTATTTTACAAATCTTAGTTTATATTTTAAAAATGAAATGCTGACAAACCATTAAGGTTTTTTATCATGATTATTCTTAAAATTATCCATGTTTGCTTATTTATCTATATGTATGGTATTTAGTTTACTTAAAATTTAATTTAAAAACTACAAAACAAAAATAACATACCTATGACTTAAATGTTAGCATTTATAATATTTGCCTAAAATTTGTTCACTTTTATTCACGGAACTAGAAAAAAAATCTTAAAATTTCTATGGAACTAGAAAAGAACCCAAAGAGCCAAAGCAATACTGAGCAGAGACCGAAGCTGGAGGCCTCACACTACCTGACTTCAAACTATAAGACTATAGTAGCCAAAGAAACATAGTATTGGTATAAAACAGACCCATACACCAATGAAACAGAATAGAGAACTCTGAAATAAATTCACTTATTTACAGCCATTGATTTTCAGCAAAGGCATCAAGAACATACACTGGGGAACTATCTTCAATTAATGGTGCTGAAAAAAGCAGATATCCATTATATGCAGAAGAATGAACCGGACCCCTTTCTCTCATCATATACAAAAATCAATTCAAGATGGATTAAGGACTAAATGTAAAATTTGAACATATAAAACTATTAGAAGAAAACATAGAGGAAATGCATCAGTACCTTTGTCTAGGCAAAGATTTTATGGCTAAGACCTCAAAAGCACAGGCCACAAAAACAAAATTGGACAAATATAACTATTAAAATGAAGAGCTTCTGTACCACAAGTAAATAGGGTGAAGACACAGCCTGATAAATGGCAGACAATATTTGCAAACTATTCATTTAACAAAGGACCGTTGTCCCGAATATATAACAAACTAACAATAAAAGCAAATAATCACATTAAAAAGTGGACAAAGGACATGAATAGATATTTCTGCAAGAATGCTATATAATAAATGAGAACACCATGTCACGAAAATTGTGTCTCCATTGTCTACAGGATCAGCTCTTTTGTCTGAATTGGCCAGACATTTCAGCTCAACCTCAGACTGATTTTATTTTTTCCTCAGTAGCTTTGACTCAATCAATTGATTTGTTGGCATTATATAGATATAGCCAAAAATAAACATTTCTTGCTCTGAAGAAGTCGATCATAAGCTGTTCATTACCTTTTAGGAAGAATTTTCAAGAGAGAATAAAAATGATCCAATATTTATAAATTTTATGTGCTTCAAATCGGCAACTATCATAGTGAAAAAAAGGAAAAAAAAAAAAGCTTAGGAGCAATTGGGAGATTTGCTGTAAGTCTTGAATACTTCTAAGGGCCGTCTCTGAACTACAGAGGGTTGAGAAGGTTTGGTTCCTGGTTGTGAGCCTTGGTCAGGCCTGGTGCATGTTTTCCTGAAAATGTTTCTGCAGACGCCATTGTTTTAGCATCAGTACTAATTTCACCACTGTTTGATCTTCCTCTTTTTTTTTT